GAAACTGTTTAAAGCAAACTGATTTCTTTGATTTTCGTAAGAGTTTTATTGTTAACGTGAATATATAATATCGTCATTTCAGAAACCTTTTCATCCCGATCAAGCATATTTATTCCAACGGTCATTTGCTTCTCGTCATCAACATTTTCTTTGTGTGCGTTCTTATTCCACCATTTGCACACCTTCTTCTTCTCGTCTGTCGTCGTGATTTCAGTTGTGGTCACTTCACCATTCTTCGACTGAATTTGACAACAATTATTGACTGTGGCTTTTTGAAGACATTGATAAACAATTCCTTCAGTTCATACTATTCAAAGTCATATCGGTGTATACATTGTTCACACTCTACAGTGTCAGATTCATCTCGATTTGTCTTTGTTTAATCTAAAGATTACGCTTAAGTTGTTAGGTAAACCGCTTTTCAAATACAAATTCTTCGATGCAAACGTTGAATTGATCTCCTATTTGAGAGCAATGAAGTTTACAGTACAGGAAAAGGATTTATCTCAGTGAAACACTTTAACGATTAATTTCGTTAAACTACCGTTAATCTGATCAACTGAATTAAGAACTTCATCTTAATTAAGCTAGCCCCCAACAACATCAGCATCATCATCGCACGACTCTACCAATTGTTCATTAATTCGATAGTGATAAATTGTTGAATGTAACGCGAAAGCACTCCCATTTGTCATCTGGAGAGTGAAATGAAATGAGAAATTCTCAACCATAACGAATATTTAATGAAATATTCATTTGTTTGGTAGTGTCCTGGTGATCAACCATAAAAATCCAATAGAATGAATAAATGAAATTTTTGCTGCTGCTTATTCGAAGACAATCAATCAAATGAACGCACTAGTGATCCAAATGAATTGATTAAAAATTTATAGTAAGCTTTCCAAAAAATTTCGAAGCAATTTGACATCAGCTGCAGACTGCAGGCTATCCATTAATTTGAAAATACGCAAACCAATATGATAATTTTGGTTTAAATTGTTTGCAGTGAAACTGTGTTCGAAAATAACTCATGCTGATGAAACGAATGCAGGAAATAATTGCGCATGAACGAATGAATCGGTTAGATGCAAGTGGACTGGATTAATTAAAGGCATCACAATGGAACTGAAATGACGACTTTAATCAGGCGGAATGAAAACAGTGCCTGGAAGCATCCTCATCGTGCTTGAGCGTCATCATTGAAACGTATCGAATAACAATTCGTTGTAACATCGGTGACTCGGAATGATCGAAAGATATTCGACTCATAAACACTTTCAAAGAACAGTAACGCGCTTTTTAACGAAAAATTGGATTTGGTCGGAACTTATGTAACAAGTGATATCAATATTTGTGCTACTATAACAATCAAAATAAGTCTTCACTCTACTATAATGTTAGCACGCAAACTTAAACAAAACGCACTGATCAGTGAGCTTTTCGAATATTAGAGGTCTGTCATGAAAATTTTGCATTTCTGGCAATTTAAAGAGTTTCTCTGCTAAAATAATGCAAATTTCATCTTTATATCTTCATCCCAGCTACCCTGCTGTGGACATATTATCTGATTGTGAGCGCAGTAAATGGCCTCAAGATGAGATGCGTTAGCTGAGTGCGCAGATTGTCAGTCAGTCAACTGCTGATGTTTCACATTAATAACAAATTTATTCGACCATCGCCAATGCACAATAGCATTATTATGCAATGAATTTTCATTAATATAACTTTACACTTAGCCATGCTTATGTGACACTTGCAAATAGCATAATGATTTTTGTACAAGTATTCATACACGTTTATGATGAGAAAGGTATTACTGAAATTGTGGACGCCTAGATTAACAAGTTGAAATGCAATCAGAATCATCGCATTTAATATTTATAGCAAACCTTATTTATATCCCTTCCAGCATCCTCATTAGGTGTTTAAAAATTATGAAGGTATTCTGCAGCGAAATCTAATGACTAACATAAATGGACATAATTTCAGATAACTGATTGATACTGGCTCATGTCAACCAATGGTTTTCGTTTGA